CTTTTACTTCGGGACAAGCCAGAATAACCCAGAGCTCCTGTTGACGAAAGAAAACTAGTTTGAAGTTTACCAAAGAGATCCCATAGATATCAAAGTATCATCAAGGAAAGAAGACATAGAGGGACAGGCATGTGAAATGGGGCGAGAGAAAGGAGAAAGCAAGAAACAAGAAAGACAGAAAAGAAAGAGAAGTGGGTTGAATTTGCAAAGCGCTAGCCCATGCTGGGCACGTCACCCACGTTGTTACGTTAGATTGTCACTACCCTGTGAAAAGGGCTGTGTCACGTTTGGCAGTTGAGGAAAATGAGGCTGGGCATAGGGGCCAGGTTGCAGCTCACATCACTCCTGGGAGAGTCAAATGACATCCAGACGTGCAGAAAGTGACAAGAGAAGTTAAGGCAACAGTGAGGACAGGACACTGTGAGATAAAGAGGCCTTCCTGCAGTGAAAACAAAAAAAAATTTCCATACTCTTCCCAACTAAATGAGAGATGTCTGTTGGCCAAACACAGCCAACCGCTGATCTCTGGTAGGTGAAAGCAGGCATAGCGTGGTTCCTCGCATAGCGTGCTCCTGCAAACATGTGCTCCAGCCACTTTGTACTGCGTTTTCCATCAGCAGAGGCCAGTATCAATTTTGTCAAGGTTTATTTTATTTCTGCTCCTGTTCCTGGCAGCCCAGCAAACTCAGCATTTCCACCTTCTGCAAGTGCTCCATCATGAACTTGCCCAGACGTTCAGTTAAGTGATGGGAAGGTGTGACCACAGGGATTATTTTTCTAGGCCCTTTCAGAACTGGATTATGCATGGCTGGGATAAGAAATTCAGAAAACTTTTAGGGATTTTTGCCCTGTCTACGTACTTCAATCTTTCGGGATACAGGGGGTGGCTCTCCCAGGAGTGCCTTTGCTTAAGGTTATGACTGTCCTACATCGCGAACACAACTGTACACCCCTGGAAAGGAAGACGACACAGACCCAGCCCAGATCTTTACCCAGAAACACTGCAATCAACCCACAACCTTTCCACATCTTTATTATCCAAAAGCACTGGCACTCAGTGACAGGTCCTCTGCTGGTTTAATTTTTCAAAAATGCATGTGACTGAGCAATGTGTATTTACAGGAAAGATTTTTTTTTAGCTAAAAGCCAAACAAGAGCCACTTTCAGATAATTCAAGTGACAAAAACAAACAAAAGCCTGCATAAGAAATTCTGCAGGGATAAAGAAATCGGATTCTATCATAGAATTCTAGTCACCCAAGAGTCCTGGAGTTCTCCCTTCCCCAAATTTAACCACAGTAAGGACTATCTACCTAGAAGCATCATTTATGAATCATTAACTCATGAGTGCATTTATTCTGATCTCTTATAATCATCAGCAAGTCAGAGTAGAGGGAAGAGTCCCTTGGGCATCCTTTGGGATACTTTCCGTGTTCTTTGTCTCAACTACACAGCTCATACTCAAGAGAATCAGTTTTAACATCTAGAAGACAAGGCCAACTGGGCATGCATAGAGAATGAATTTGAGTAGCCCTAAAACCAGCAGAGCCCAACCTAGTTGAGCAATTCCTGCCTAAACATTAACTTTTTGTCTGCAAGTCTAAAAGTTCCAGAGTCCCACCAGGATATAAAAATTCATAGTCATGGGCTCCATATTTTATGCAGTCATCACTGGAATAGTTGTGGAAGGCACAGTTCTTATGAGAATATGGAGCTTTTATAATACAGGTCTTGCCTTCATCTCTTCCGACAGGCACAGAACAAGAACTGGTTAGTGGGCAGGCACTTTGTTAGAGTTCAAGTATATAAGATGGATATTGATATGCAGGCTATATTTTATGCAATCTCCTGACCATTCCCTCCTACTTGATATAAGCAAAAACAATTTGTAACTAAGCCCTTAAATAAAACACAGGCATCATCACTGAATATCTACTATTGCCAAACTTTATATCAGGTCCTTTGCATACATCATTTCATTAAAAAATCAGAGCAATTCTATGAATTCGGGACAATTTAGAATTCCCATCATGCAGATGAGGAAATGAGGCTTAGAGGGGTTAAGTCATTTGTCTGAAGCTAGAATTGATGAGCCAGGATTTCAGTCTGAATCTTTTGGAGTCCAAAGCAATACCTCTCTAGCGCTGCTCATCTATTTTTCCATCACTCTCCTCTCCTCTCCAGTCTTAAGAATCCACAATTTCTCAGGCACCCAATGCCAGTGCTGGAGCCATATCACAGCTCCCAAAGTTTACCTCCCCCTAGGAGGATAAGCCAGTCCTTCTGCAACAATGACAGGATCATGACAGTGGTTGCCTGACCTCTAGCTTTGGAAGAACATAAACACAAAGCAATGACCCCTCACTACAGTATATCCCACATGCCAGCACCACATTGTCCTGGAAGACATTTTGGGCATAGAAGAAGCTGCAAACACACCTCCAAGAAAGGTGTTCTTTGGGGGTAATTTCAAGGTGGTAGATCCATTGACTATTGGATTTAATTTTTAGAAAAAGCCAAATGAAATGCACCTACTGAGAAATCCTGACAAGTTCATTGCATACTTCCCAAGAGTTGCCACTAAAAGGTTTCCGTGACTTTGGCCAATTCTTGGTCCCATGGGCAAGAAAGTCCTAAAAGTGAAAGCATGAACTTTTCTCCAAGTTTTCCATACATGAACTTCCCCTCTTTGAAAGTGAGAGAAAGAACAAAAATTCTACAGCAAGATAGGACTGGTTGTAAATCCCAAATCAGAAGCAACTGACTTCATCTCACTAAATTCTTTAGTTTTCCAATTTTCAAATCAAGGCTAACATTTTCAGTTAGGCTTCCCAGGAGCAAATCCCAAGATGAGAATTTATATTATTAAGGAAGTGCTCCCAGGAGAAACTAGAGGTTGGATGGGGGAGGAGGAGGGGAAACAGAGGGAGCTAAGCGCATATGTGATCTCAGGCAAGAGTTCTGCAGAGGGCAGCCCCAGCCTCATGCTACAGGGGAATTCTGGCCTGGGAATTACAGCTCAGAGCTGGCCTTGTCCAAAGGGGCTGGTGCTTTGTATTTCTGTGTCCATCATGGGATGCAGAAAAGGAAGGCAGCTGTAAATTCTGAGGCACTTCCAGCTCTGCAAGCAAGCTCCACCAGTCCAAGGGAAATATTATGAAAAATAACTACAGGTGCTTGCTGTTGAAAGCAAGAGTACACACTCAAGTAAGCCAAGGTGCACAAAACTGGTGAAAGGGACCCAAAGTGATCTGGGTGGAGCACCAACATTGTCCACTACCAATAATAATACCTCTTTTGTGGGTCTATTATTAGCAATTGCGTATATTATATATATATATATATATATAGCAGGCACTTGGTAAACAATATGGATTAGTGTTGTTGCTGTCTTACTAACCTCGCCCATAAAATCTTCCCAGAGATAGTCTCCCCATGGTCACATCTGGGGATCCCACTTACTTGGGATGCCCATGCGATGGATTTGCCAGCCAGGGCAGTGCCCACATGCTGGTTTCACATCATTGGCTTTCTCTAGTTGGTGCTGATGTTTTGCCCAGTCTCATGACCATTATCCTTTGGAGGGGGGCTCCTCTTCCAGAGTCAGAAAGGCCCCACTTCCTGCCAGGTGGGCTGTTCCTGAGGGAGGTGGTGGCCCGGGGGCGGGGGCAGGCTTGAGTGTTGATTGCTCTCCCAGCGATGCCACTGGGCCCCCAGCAGGAGCCAGCCCCAATTCCTCCTCTCATTAAATAAATCCTTGGCCTTTTTAAGTTTTGCCCATTCATCTTACTCCCCTAGAGGCAAAGGATTCCTCAGAATGACCCACAGTCCACAAAAGGGTTTCTTTTCCCTTTGTGCCTGAGGTTCTGCCCAAGAGGGCTTCTGCAGCCCCTTCCTCCCTAGGGAGCCTCAGATACCCACAGGGACAATGGGGAAGGGGCTTTAGTCAATTAATCTTCCCTAACAATCAGCCTTTCCCAGGTGCCAGCCAGGCAAGCTCCTCTGAGAAGGAGCCTCCCCCTGTGACTAATCCTCTATGGTAAAAGATCATGCTTTGCTCCAAAGCCACCCTTTCTATATCTCAGTTCACACGAGCTGCATCTTCTCACAATGCCAGACGGCCCCCTTGGCCACGCTACTCCAGGGCCTCTTTCTCTGGGCTGCCATCATCTCTGAAATTAATCTAAGAGAGGCCCCTTTTACAAGAGTGGCAGCAAATATCCGATTCAATTTGCTTTCACCCAAGATTTCCCAGGAGTCATGCTGAATGAGATAATCAATGATGATTATAGGGCTTGGCCTGCCTCACTGAGCCAAAGTGTTAAAAGGAGGGAGAATTTCTGCTTCAGTGCTCACCCAAGCCAGGCACTAATTCAGGCAGATCCATTACTTTTCTTGGCAGCTCTAAACCATATGTGCTGCAATAATCACGCCAGGCAGGTAGAGGCAATCAGTCCTCCTACCTAAGAAAAGAGAATTCATTTTTGCTTCTCCCACTGCCCCAGAACAACAGCAACAGAAATGTATAAAGTATCTGGAGCAAAAATGAGGAGGCTGTTCGAACCAATGATGCTGAAGAGATCTAATTTGGACAGGCTAAACTGTCCTTGTCTCAGCTAAAAAAAAACTAGTCAATGCCTTTGCTACTAACCCAATCGAAAGAAAGTATTCGATTACTTGTTTCGGCTGTCTTAACCCTGCAGGGATTTGTTTTCTGCTTGGGTAAAGGCTCTGAAAGACCACAATGTCCAGGAAAGGAAAACACGGACAAATGGCTGAGGGGCCAAAGAAACCCTCCAGATTCCCCACACCCCTTCCTGGCCTCACCCTTTCTTTCGCGCCTCTGCTAGTCTTATGCTGGCCATTTGGGGATGGGGTACTCCTGGGCTATGCACATTTTTACAAAGGCTGCAATTGAAATTATGTGTTAGTTACCTGTTGCTGTGTAACAGATTACCCCAACACTTGGCAACTGGAAACAACAAACATGCATAATCTCACCGTTCCTATGGGTCGGGAGTGCAGGAGCATCCGAGGTGTGTGGCTGTGGCTCAGGGTCCCTCACAGGCTGCAATCAGAGCATCAGCCGGGGATGTGGTCATCTCAGTGATGGCTTGGGGAAGGCCAGCTTCTCAGCTCACTCTCTCACGTGGTGGTGGGCAGGCCTCAGAAGGTCACCTTCGAAGCTCAATGATGTGGGTCTTTCCACACGGCTGCCTTGCAACATGACAGCTGGGTTCTGCCAGAGTAAGCAATAAGCAGCCCAAGAGAGAGTGTGAGAAGGTGCCCAGGATGGAAGCCACAGTTCTTTAATAACCGAAGCTTTAATAACCACATCACTCCTGCCATATTCTATTGGTTAGGAGCAAGTCAATACGTCCCGCCTACACTTAGGGGGAGAGGATTACAGGAGGGTGCGAATGCCAGGAGGCAGAGCTATTTGGCTCTATCTTAGAGATGGCTAGGACAGATAGCAGACCTGCTCTCTTGGAGAGATCATCTGAGCACAAAAATGGAGGGATGCTGTCCTGTTAGATGCAGAGCTCTTATGTATCTGAGGCAAACACCAGTGGGCGTTCCATTTTTATAGTGCCAAGAATGTTACATATGACTCCAGGGAAGGGGGAAGGGTATCTGCACAGAATGGGTCTGGATACTCAAGACCAGAGTCAGAGTTGGAAGAACAACCTGCCTTCCTGAAAACTTCTCCAAGGGCAATGGGCTAAGGATATGCATGCTGGGCTAGGTGCTGCCTGGGTACGTTGTCTAGTGCCCATAGTCATCAGCACATGCAGGAACTGCAGGTTAGAACTGCAGAGAGGTCAACAGACAGAGAAGAGACAGAGGACCTGGGTCAGGAAGGCCTTTTCTGGTTGGTGATGTTTTCTATCTTTCTGTGCAAGATGGTTATAGTCATGGCCCAATGAGTCACACCTCCCAGGATCCATGGCCTGGGTGGTCCCCTCCTACACTGACTCCGGGCTTGTCCATGGGACTTGTCTTGGCCAAGTTAACAGCACGTAAGTAGAGGCTTGTTAAAGTGCTTATGAATTGGGGCTTGCCATCTGGGAATGCTGCCCTAAGACCATCATGCCTAAAAGACTCCTGCTGTGAAGAAATTAGGATGAAAGACCACATGCAGAGAAAGTTCCAGCCACCATAGCTGAGCCCAGCCCCCAGTCAGCCTACCAGCTGAATGCAGATACATGAGCAATCCCAGTTGAGACCAGCAGAGGAATCACCCTGCCAACAGACAGAATGTGAAAATAGCAAATCATTTTTATTTTAATCCATTACTTTGTTTATACTGCATAGTTAACTGACATAAAAATTTGTACCTGGAAGTGTGTGCTGCTATGAAAAAAGAAAAGAAACATGTCAAACATGTGGCATTGGCTTTGGCACTTGGCAATGGGCAGAAGCTGATAGAGGATTAAGGAAACTATTAGTGGAGACTAGAAATGTATTAGGGACACTCCTTTTGAGAGGCTGGAAAAGGGGTGAGACAAGCTCCAGTTTGGGAACTGGAAAACCTTTGCCTGAAGCAATTTGAAAGACATAAAATGTGCTCATGAACTTGTGGATCTGGTTAAGGAGATGACAAGGCAGGACGTTGAAGATGGTGATTGACTTTTTCTAGCTGAACAGGATAAAGTATAAGAGAAAGAGATGAATTAAGAGGACGCTGTTCAGTTTGTGAGCAGAATTTTTTAAAAATATGGAGGGCCTGGCACATGTTGAATTTGTAAATAAAGCTGTTTTTCAAAATATTTCTAGTTTTTAAACAGATGAAAAAGATTCTCAAAGGGAAAAAAATGACCTCAGAATCACAATCAAATCAAGAGTATAGTTATAAGACCCTCTTAAGGTGGTCTCTAATAGACCCTCTCACCCCCCAAAACCTATAGGTCGGTACCCTGAAAGTCCATCCCAGTAGAGAGAAACATATTTCGAATATAACTGTGGATGTGGTTTTTGTTTAATGGAGTACGAAATAATACATAGAAAACCCAAAACGTTTTCAAAGGACTTGTGGCAGCTTGAACTAAAGGAAACAGAAATTGTTTAAAACAAATAGAGGATGTTGGCCCCCAAAACCTATAGGTCGGAAGCAGCCTGAGAGAGGTCCAAACACAGATCCTCTCTCATGGAAAGAAAAAGGAATTAAAAGAGTAGAACCGAGAACCTAGAAGGTGAATTTAAGAACCAAAGAAAATAATTGATGAGGGAACTATTTCCTGGGAGCAGAGCCAGGCCTGATCAAAAAATATTCCTTGCTTTGTGGGTAGAAAGCTCTGAAGGCATGTGCCTTGCTAGATTTCAGAACTCCTACGTTCTTCCCACTCTTGCCTTTTTGAATGGGAGTGGGTCTTGCATCATCAGGTTCCTGTCCCTTGAATGTCGGGTGCTTTAAGTTCACAGGTTTCTGGACCAAGAAGAGCTGCTGCATCGGAGAGGTTTCATCTGCATCTAGACCAGACGCAGATCACAAGCTCCAGGATCTTGAGCCTATAACTGGATGAGACATCGGAAGGTCTTGGGACCGGGGCGGGGGGATGGGGGGAGACAGTTATTTGCAGCTGATATTAACAACTGTGGTGACATGGAAAACTGTGACAGGTTAAATATTGCTGCAGAATCTCTGTAGCTTCCCCGCTCCGGAGGTTGAGTCTATTCTGATCTTTGCTTCTGGGCTGGGCTTGTGACTTACCTTGCCCAGTAGAAAATAGTGGAAGTGAAATTATATGTGTCCAAGGGTCTAGTCCTCCAGGGGTCTTGCATCTTCCTCTGTCATCCTCTTGGAGCCTGCTGTGATGTCTCTGTAAGGAAGCTGCTCTACTGGGAGATAAGAATCCACGTGAAGGAGCAAGAGAGAGTCCTAGCCAAAAGCACCAACTGCCAGACCGTGAGGAAGGCCATCCTGGGCCTTCCAGCCTCACTGACTCTCCAGCTGGATGTAGTCCCACGAGTGGCCCCAACAAAACTGGTAGAAGATCAACCCAGCCAACTCAAAGGACTATAAGAAGTGATCAAATGTTGCTTCAGGCTTAAATGTAGAGGTGACTTGTTACACAGAAAGAGTAAACCAGTACACTCGCACCACCACCAGAACTGCCAGACCTACCCAGGCAAGCAACAATGAAATCTAGAAAAATCCTGTGGTCCCAGAGGCCCCCAATCCAGAAAGCAGCACCTGCCCAATGCCTGCTCTCTCTCTTTCAGTTATGTCATGGAAATAATTAACAAACATCTATCTGGTGGTTCTTTTACTCCCCAGAAGCAACTGAGCTCAGCCAAAGCAGCTGAATTCCACCACAGACAATTCTTTGACTTAAAATAGATCATCCTAAGAAATCACAAACCAAAGGCCCTTTTCCAAACCAGGGCTTCCTGAGAGCCTAAGGGAAATTGGAATTGTGCAATTCCAGGGGATGGTGCTCAGTACAATGGCTGTAGTGCCATACGATCACCTGCCTGGGTTGCTTTCAAAGGAAATTGCTTTCCATTTCACCAGCAGGTGAGTGGACTGAATCACTTTGGGGCTCAAATGTCCTGGGAGGCCATCAGGCCATCCTTCTGCCGTCCTGAAGGAAGTGCTGTCTGAATAACGTGGGTATCACAAATAAACCCTTATTCATTTTTTCCCTGGGACCAAACTGTCCCCTGCATCAGTATGCAGAGTGAAAATTCACTGAGACGTGAGGGACAGCTCTGTCACCCTGCTGTGTTGCCTGGTAAAATTCCACTAGCCTGTCGAGAGCCAGCCCCAGCGTCCACTGCTCTGGGCAAACATCACTTGCTTTAGTTCCACTCCCCCGTGTGGCAGAACAATAGCTCCATGGACTGCATCCTTACCCTGTCGTGTATCATGACTAACTGTGCCAGGGATGTCTATGCCTCTAACCCACCTACTCAGGCTCACTTTAAGAGGAAGGATTTTACCATAATCATCCTGATACACCCAGCCTGCCTCTGACACATGGAAGACATTGGGCGAACAGCTACTGAATTCATTCATTCAGCAAATATTTTAATGAACTCTTACCTTGCCAGTACTTGTTGATATCACAGCAGGGAACAAAACACACAAACCCCTGCCTTTGGAGACTGTAATTTGCACTCAGTGGAGACCAACAATAAACAGAAAATAAGAAGTAAACTATAGAGTATGTAAGAAGGTCAAATATGTTATACAAAGAACTAAAACAGGAAAATGGAATGAGGTGCAACAGTTTTAACAGAAGCTCACATTTAAGCAAAGACTTGAAGGTAGAGAGGGATTTAACCAACTTTATTTGGGGAAAAGAGTGCTCTAGTCATAAGAAACAGCCAGTGCAAAGGTCCTGGGGTAGAGGCATACCTGGTTTATTTGAAGAACAGCAAGAAAGCCAGTCTATTGTGAACAAAGGAGCACCTTTTAGAAGAAAAGACAGAACAGGTAATGGGGGTGGGTGTTGTTGGTGTAGAGATTTGCAGGACAGAGCAAGGATTTAAGCTTTTACTGAGTGAGATGAAAACTACTGCAGGATTTTTAAGAAGAATGACATGACCTGACATAGGCTTTCGAAGGGTCCATTTAACTAGTCAATTCAGTGAAAAGGGATCTGTAGGAAGGTCTGTAGGAGGGGAAGCAGTTAGGAGGCAATGACAATAGATGTCAGAGATGATGGTGGCTTGGACCAGCAATGCAATGAAGCAGTCAGACTCCGGATAGATTCTGAACAAAATTTTCTAGCATATTAGGTATGACATGAAGAAGGAGAAGTTGTGAGGAGTCAAGGTTAACACCGAGATTTCCGGTCTGTGTAGCTGAGAGAGAGAACTTGCCACTGGCTGAGGGGGGAGGACAGTGGGTGCACCCGGTTTGGGGAGAGATGCCAAGGCCACGTTTGGACATGCTGAGTTGGATATTTCTGTGAGCAGAGATATTGAGGAGACGGTGGAATATGTCTGGAATCCAAGGAGGAAGTGTGGGCTAGAGACATAAATTTGCAGAAACCAATAAACTCGAGACCTTATTTTACTCTTTGGATTTTATCTCCTCAACAGTAAATTGAGGTGGCGGGAGAGGATATTAGGTGAGATATTAGAATAAATGATTATCTACAATTCTTCCCTGTGCTAACAACAGACATTTATCTAAAAGACAATTCAGCAGCCCATGCTGCGCACCTCTTTTGGCATTCTGCCTTTGCTGGCCTCTCTGCTTCTGATTCCGTTTTTCAGGCTTCTGCAAAACATCACTCAAATAACGAGCCCCGATGCGAAGGCAGAGCCAGCTGGCACCTCTTGGGGACGCAGGCTCTGGCTAAAGAGGGGACACAGCAGGCAAAGGCAGGTACAATTGTTCTATCACCAGACAGCAGACCCAGAGACAGCGGTGGCTGCAGAGGACAGGCGTGAGGCTGCCACCTTGCAAATGAAGCCAGTGCTGCCCAGCAGAGGCACAAATGACTTTATCCTTTCCAGCACTGAGCAGGAGGCTCTTAGCAGGATCGCCTTAGAAGTAGGATAAATATATGTCCTGCTTTGCCCAGGGCATCTGTATTGGTGCCTGTTATTCCAGTGTAATTATTCAACAGTATCTCCTTTTGCTCTCAAAATCATCCCGGCTTGAATAATAAATTACATGGTCACCTATCTTATAAGCTTGTCTCTTAGCATCGTTTCCCCACGCCACCCCACCCCCCCGAAAAAGCCCCAGCATTGTCTTTCCCTGAAGATCCAGAACTTTCTAACTTTCGAACAGCTATGAATTAATTCAATGTCCATCGGCCAACCCTGGAAACACAGCAAAAGTTCCACAGTTTCTTCTCCTTGCTGCCCCCACTGGAGAGGGAGGGAGAAGGACCCCAGCAAAGACCTCTGCATGCGACTCTCCTTAAGAATCACTGTGGTGGGCCAGGCTCGGTGGTGGCTCACGCCTGTAATCCTAGCACTCTGGGAGGCCGAGGTGGGCAGATCCTTTGAGCTCAGGAGTTCAAGACCAGCCTGAGCAAGAGCGAGACCCTGTCTCTACTAAAAATAGAAACAAATTAATTGGCCAACTAAAAATATATAGAAAAAATTAGCCGGGCATGGTGGCACATTCCTGTAGTCCCAGCTACTCGGGAGGCTGAGGCAGGAGGATTGCTGGAGCCCAGGAGTTTGAGGTTGCTGTGAGCTAGGCTGATGCCACGGCACTCTAGCCTGGGCAACAGAGTGAGAAAAAAAAAAAAAAGAATCACTGCGGTCAATGCAATTTTCTAGGCTCCTGGATCTCTCTTCTTTGAGTTCAACCCTCCTAAGAGCACGGTAGCTGACAGTGTAAACGTCTTAGGTGACCTACATAGTGGGGATCTAGAACCACACTCCCTGGTTCTACAACAATTCAGGCCATTGTTCATTAACAACCTTTCTTTCCACTCATATAACAAATATTTACCAGATGCTTCCTATGTGCAGGATACAGAAAAGAGTCATACATTAATCCTACCCTCAGGTCTAGTAACATAAACATGTGTATGCATTCCCATGACTTGATGCAGAAAGTAAAAACACACACAAAAAAAGGTCTCACTGATCAGAAAGCAATCTGATGATATAAAATCTTCCTCTCCTTCAAACCAACATTTTGTGCATTGATTATTCACTCCACAAACATTTGTCCAGCGCCACTAATAGAGTGCCAGCCACTTGACATACTTTATCTTATTTAATCTTCACAGCCATACTCTGAGGTCGATATTACTATATCAGCTTGGTAGATGGGAAGCCTGGTGTTCAGGGAAGTTGGATGCCTTGCTGAAGTGCATGTGGTTGCAGAACCAGGACTGGAACTGAGGTCTGTAGGCATGCTCTTTCCAGATGCCATCTCCACGCAAGGCGCTGCTGAAGCCTTCTGCCCCAACTCTGCTAAATGTGAGAGTTGGCTTCACAGAACACAGCTGCTACCTTGTGGAAGGACCCTCACCCACTTCTTCTTGGAGTGAAAGCAGAGCTGGGATTAGGGGTGGGCGGGTGGGGCACTGGTCTCAGGTGTGAGACTTAAGGGGGCACCAGAAACCTCAATCATCATGATCATTAATATTTAAATGCAACAATTGCAAGTTTGTATCCTCTGACCAACATCTCCCGGTTTCCCTCATCTCTCAACAAACTTTCGGTTTACAAGAGGAATGAGTTCAGGAGACCTAATGCACAGTGTGTGGCTGCAATCGGCAATAATGTATTACGTTCCTGAAACTTGCCAAGAGAGTAGATCTTAACTATTCTCGCCACACACATGCACAAAGGTAACTGGGAGATGATGGATATGTTAATTGTCCTTGATTGTGGTAATCATTTCACTGTGCATCTGTACATCAAAACATCACATCATGTACCTTGAATATATACAACTTTTATTTGTCAATTATCATTCAATAAAGCTGAAAATAAAATTTTTAGAATTGGCAAAATACAGCCCTTGGACCAGCTGCCTGTGTTTCTAAATAAGGCTTTGTTACATTTCACGCATCAAGACAGGTCATATCTCACAGGGCCGGGTACTTGGTTTCACTTGCAGAAAAGAAATTTTCTTTGCCTTTTTCGCCTGGAGGACGTGCTTGTCTGTAAATAAAGGCCACATGCAAATAAAGGGCCCGGACAGTCACAAAGAGGGACACCTGAGGCAGACTGCTCTCCAATTCCTCCCTGGAGCCAGAGCCACCGAGGCTGATGTGATTTTTCAAACGTCAACAGGAGACAAGCAGCCAGGGCACCGGGAACCCAGGCAGAGGAGGGAAGAGGCTGGAGGACAGCGCACGATGGCTCACATCCTGATTCCCCGGAGGGCTGAACGCAGCCACGCCGTGTGAACACAGAGGGACCCAGTGCCATCCCTCCCATGCACAACTGTGATGTGAGCTGTCACTGTTTTCTTGTCCCACATACCCTCAGCGACCTGGGCCCCACCGTCACAGGCGGTGACTCCAGCTCAGTGCAGAGCCGCTATTAACGGGAAAGGAGAGAGCTGGGGCCCCCAACAGCCATTTTTAACTGTGGACATTATTGCTCAATTTTGAGCTGCACCCGGGGACTCATAAGAGGAAGACATAATGCTTGTTTGTGGAACTTTTATAGCTAATTGACATTTTTTCAGTGCTCCCCCGACAGCTGTAGTTACTCCTGATTGGAAGCGTCACGAAAAGCATCAAGTTGGACACTGTCTCCAGATGGGGCCATATTTCTGATGTACCACCGAAAATAAAAAAGAATAAATAAAAAGCCGTCAAAATAAACACACTCAAAAGTGATAAAGAGGAACTGAAGTGATTGGCAAAAGCGGTTCTTTTTGTGCAGAAATAATGGATGCTATTTTCATACTAATTGAGGATGTTTTACTCTCTGTAGCTGTCAGACATCCTCGTTTCGTGGGAACATTTTCCTCCCTCCTACGTCTGTTCTCTGCTCTGCTGAGAAAGGGGAACATGTAAGCAAATTTCTCCTGTCCTAGTCAACGAGTCTCTTCCCAATTATAGGTTCCCAGAGTCCGTCCTTGGTGCTAACAGTAGATGCCTGCTGTCCTGGCTGCTCCAAGTCAAGTTCACGAGACAAACAGGATTAGACTCAAGCTGAGAAATTAACTAATGCTAAGAATTCCACTTTCATCTCTGGACATATTTGGGTACAGATTACCCAGGAAGATTAGTAACTAGGATAGTCCAAGATATACCAGTTGAAGGCGGAAATCACTTGTCATAAACGCTAGTTTGGGTTTGTAGAGATTATACTGAGTGTATTATATAATATGGATCCACTTCCTGCTGGCTTCATTCTATTTTCCTTGACTCCAAAAAGCCACTGCTGCATGTAGCATGAGCTCATTAGAGAACATTATTTTCAGGACAGAACACTGCAGATGGCAGGCCGCACTATGCCAACCAATTTTTCTGGTTCCATGGATGAATGTCACATCTCACCTACATAGAGGTCTCCTAGCCCATATACTTCCTGATTGAAAACATAACTCATGGCAAGTATAAAAATCATAATCATACTTGAACGGCCACATTTTACAACCAGTGTCTCTCTACCAAAAACTGGTGTACTAAAGGCATAGGAAAGTCTGTCAGGAATGTTCTCAAAACCTATGTTCACTTACTTTATACATAATTTGAAAGAAATGCAGAGATCCGATTGCTAATCCAAAGCAGTAATTAAGGAAAAGGGGAGGGGTTTCTGGAAGCAAGCACAGTGACAGCAGAGAGATGGTAGAGAACAATAGCAGGGCAGCAATGGAAAATATTTTAAATTCAAAATAATTAGATATGAGTATTCCATGAGCCTTATACACTAAGTCAACCTAGCACAGATGCCAGAGCCTGTGGGCATCTGTGACATACCAGCCAGTGTAGGGCATGTCCCTGAGCCAACTAGGAAGTTGTGTTCTGGTGCTCTGTGTAAGAAGCAGGAAAGAATACATTTTAGAAAAAATTAGAACCCAAATGTTCATTATTTTCATTATTATTATTAGTTAAAGGCAATGAAAGGATAAACCCTATGTATCAGGCTTTAACTGCCCAACCCTCCCCCCACACACATATAGTTTTGTTACTTTTCCACAATTGCCTCTCTTTGTTCAACCTAATATAAATGCATTTAGGTTTTGTACTTTGGGTTTTCATTTTCTTATGAGGGCTTCCATGTCATGGAAAATTTATATAAATTTGTATGCTTTTCTCCTGTTAAAATGTCTCTATGTCAATTTTATTCTCAGACCCAGCTGAAAACCCTACAAGAAAAAGAGTAAAGTTTTGCTCCTCATAGCATAAAGATCTTCCTTATTATTTCTTAAGGCTCTTGGTATTCTATTCATGGATGTGCCATAATTTTTTTAACCAGCCCCTCAATGATAAACATCTTGGTTATATAAAAATATTTTACTATTATGGCAACTGCAATAAATAAGCTTGATTTTGCATAAATTTGTACATGTAAAAATCTCTGAGAGATAAATTCCTTTGAATGAAATAGCTGGCTAAAATGGTAAGTGCATGTGTAATTTTGATAGATATTGCCAAATCACTCTTCATCTAGCTTGTACTAATTTAAACTCCCTAAAACAGTATATAGGGGTGCCTATTTCCTCACACTTTTGCCAACAGAGTGTATTAATATACGGTTTACCTTTTCCAAGATAATAAGTGGGAAACATCTCTGAGTAAAATTTGATTCACATTTCTCTTATTTAGAGAAAATAGCACCTTTTTATATAAGTACCATTTGTGTTTACTTTATTCTGTGAAACATATATTTATATTTTTTTCTATTTATTCATAGGAGATCCTTATATATTAAGATAATTCTCTCTTTATTTGAAATGTTCATCAGAATGGGCTTTAAGTAGCTTTCAAAATGTATAAAAAGAAAAAGAAGCCCAACTATAAATATGACCCAAGAGGAATGGAAACATACAAAAGAGACAGAAAGAATTAGGAGGGATTAGGATAATTACACTAAAAGGGAAGAAAGACAAAGAATTCCTGAAAGTTAAAAATTGTAAAGTGGAAGAGAGAGATAGCCACATCCTATAGAATAGGAAAAAATAATGTGTGTTGATTAAGATAGGCTAAACAGCTGTAACAAATGTATCCAAAAATGCAACAAATCAAACACAGTAGCAATTTATATTTTGCCTAGTAACTGAGGGCAGGTGGCTCTCCTCGATGTGGAGATTCAAGGACAATATACATCCCATAGTGTCTCATTGCGGTCTGTATCCACTTGTGGAAAGAAAAGAAAGTATGGAACAGGTACACCCACTTCTTAAAAGCATTGGCCTTGGCCAGGTTTGGTGGCTCACACCTGTAATCCCAGCCCTTCGGGAAGCCGAGGTGGGAGGATCACTTGAGACCAGAAGTTTAAGTCCAGCCTGAGCAACATAGTGAGACAATGTCTCTACAAAGAACTTTAAAAAAATAGCTAGGTGTGTTGGTGGGCACTTGTAGTTT